GTTTGCATTTTTGTGGACAAAAATGATTCGCATTACTATTTTCTACAATTTACTGAAGAATAAAACTGCCCTAAAAGACAATGAAAGGCTAGGACTACTAACAGTCAGATTACCTAGTAGGGTATGGCAGACAACACCTGGCATTCTACAGAACACCCAGCAATCTCACTTTTTTCCTGACAGGTGCACATTTAAAGCTTCTAGCACATTGTCTGGCTCATAGTGAGAACTCGATAAATTTAATTTGCTTCTCTTCCACTGAAAGAATGAAAACAAAGTAATTGCAAATTTATGGCATTTCTGCATAACTACAGTTCCCTGGATAGGAGCTGTATCTAGATTGACTTATGTTTTCCTTGGGCTTTGCACAGTGCTTTGGAGCGTTTTTAATGGGTGTTCATGAATTGTTTGGTTGAATGGAACTGTATTCAAGTATGTTCTAATTCATTCTATCTGGAGAAACATGTATATCGGGAAAAAGAGGCTTATTTTGCTTACGTTGTTATTTAGCATATTTTCAGACAGGGATTAGAAAAAATATTCTAATTATGCAAACTGGTGGCCTTGCAGAATGGCTAGACTAGCTGTTTCTTTTCATAGTCCAGATTTTGTGTGAGTATAGCTAAATAAAAATCCCACTCCAATGATAGCAAATGCGATTTTGTTGTGTGCAGTCTTAAGGCATGATTATGCTGTTCTCACCGTGAAATGGTGATTTTTACACATGATAAAGCAGGCTAGCATATTTACATACATTACAGATAGAATAATTCATTGCTTTAAAAGTAATTTTTATCTGCTTTTTAGATTCACTGTTCGACAAAAAATTCTTTTTAAGTAACAAAAATAATACGCATTGGCTACTGGAGACTCTAAAATGAAGGAGAAGCTTAGCTTTACTGTGGAGTCTGAGCCTGGGTGTAACCTAACTAGCTAGAGGGTATGTAATTCCTGATTGACAGCAGGACCAGCGTTATGCAGATTTTGTAAGAGAGAACAGCAGCTCAGAAACAGTGATTAGGAATCACTACATTCACCATTCATATCTTTAGTTTTTAATTCTTCTGTCTCCTGGATTTGTAAACAAATTGCACCAAAACAGTTACTCTTTTGTTTTTATTACAGTGATACTGCAGTGCAGTATCAATCTATCAGCTAGGCATACATGTGTGGAAATTCGGTATTCTTACTAAATTAGCTAATTTTTAGCTGTGTTCCATGCTTATCTCTAGATCTTTGTGTATTAAATTCTATCTTGAGCTGTTCTCTTTATACACAAGTGTGTTTTGCTTGTGCCTTCCTGTCTTCTTCAGTGAGAAGCTTTATGTAGGTCAGGCTTGGCTTAAGCAGATTTCCTGAACCTGCGTCAGCTTAAGCTGGAGGAATTTTAATAAACCCTCCCCTGTAGGCGTGGGCCTAAATGAGGCTAGCCTAGTTAAGCCTGATCTTTTTCTGTGTGTGAAAAGAGCTGAGCAGAGCTGAAGGCTGCATGGTGGTTTCAGAAACTGCCTACTTAATTTGAAAAGAACAATGGTAGGAAAGGCTAGATCTTCCAATTTTACCTTATCTGAAAAGCTTGATTTGCTAAAGCTTGTGAAGCCATATGTGAAAATTCTCGAAGAACACACTAATAAACATTCAGTAATAGTGGAAAAGAATAGATGTTGGGATATCATAGCAATTAACTATAATGCAATTGGAGTAGACCGCCCTCCTCGCACAGCGCAGGGCCTACGCACCCTTTACAAAAGGCTCAAAGAATATGCCAAACAGGAGCTAATGCAGCAAAAAGAGACCCAATCAGATTTTAAAAGCAATATTTCTGAGCCAACCAAGAAAGTTATGGAGATGATTCCCCAGATTTCCAGTTTTTGCCTGGTAAGAGACAGGAACCACATACAAAGGTAAGCTTTATTTTATTTTGTTGTGGAAAATGATGGCGCCTCCTATCTATTGGGCTCTGGCTTAGTTGTGATTGAGATATGCATAGTAAGCATCCCCACGATGGGAGTAGTGAATAGTGTCTTTGTTTTGCATTCTTAAAAAAGAAAAGTGAGGCTATACAGAATTTTTCTGCTGCATTTCATTTAAGCTACTTTTTATCTTCCCTTCCCCCTTCCCTCCTTCTGTAGTTTCTAAAAAGTAAAGGCTAGGAAGGAAAAAATGGGAAATTTGTGACATCACCTCATAAACTTTTTAAGCTTTAAAATTAAAAGATTTAATTAGCTGAGAGATACCTTTTTCTTATTTCATTTAAGATTACATTTAGTGAGAATTTTTAATTTTACATAAAGTTAGTTTTAGGAAAAATGGAACCCTTTATAAAATTGTCAGTCTACACTTACTGAATATTTTTTGAGCTAAAAACCAAATCAATAATTAAATAAACTTGTTAATGGTATTATTGTATTCATTAAGACAGTTTAAATTATTTTTCTAACTTATATCTAGAATAAATACAGGAAAAGGAATTAATCCCTAATTAGAGTTTATATTACTTCATAAAATTCAAAGTTTTTGTGTTTTTATTCATTAATGGTCTAGTTTCACTTTGATCTTGGGTCATATAGGAAAAAGTATGCTTTCACATACTGCTTTGCAAGGAAATCAAACTGAATTTTAATAGACCAATAAGAGCAAGTGGATTTTTAAAGGGTTAGAAACAGGGGGTTTTTTGGTTAAATTTATGCTCTATAATTACTGCCTGGGAATCTTCAACACTGTTATCTTACTAATTCAAATTTTAACCCCTGGCAAAGATAAAAATGGTGGTTATATTCTTTTGCACCACTCAGGGTAATTTAAAGAAATTGTAAACTTCTTGTTAGTGGAGGGGCCTTTCAAGCTAAGCTTTATAATGTGCTTTCCTATTGGTAGAAGAAGAGTCATATAAATAGAATTATTGATTACCTTTGAAATCTTGAATAAATTAGGAGAGAAACAGGAGAATGAAACTTTTTAGCCAAACATATTTGTTATTTTGATAATTTGCTGGGATAATATTTTGAGACCAGCTTCTCACCATATACTGCTTATTTCTAGTTGATAGCATAATGTGGACACACAGTCTATTAAATCATGAGGCCACTGCTTAAAATGTTCAATGTGATGACAACTGATTAAATCCTAATATGCAAATGTCCAAAAAACTACAATAAGACCGTTTTATTCTGTGCTACTCATTAAAAAAAATTTCACCCTCAAACCATAGAGAAAAGTGGCTTCTGCATTACAGGTATAAACTTATCTTTTGGCTATTAAGTATAGGCTTTTATAGTTTGAAAACTACATATAGAAACTGTAGTTTTAGTTAGTTGCATATTTTTAAAATACAATGAATATAGAAGAAAAATAGTATCTATATTTTGACCATATATGTGTGTTACTCACAAACATACACACACAGTTAGTCTTTTGGGACAAAAATATTTCTCTGATAAAACGAGTTAATTGATTTATACATTTTTATACCTATTGTTTAAACAGTACAATTTTTCAGATTTTAAAGGGAAGAACATTAGAAATAAGCCGTTTAAATGCTTATGTTAGTGTCTACACTGCCATTTTCTGTTAGCATTTTCATTTAATATATTTTTATATATTTAATGTGCTTATATTTATTTGATTGGCATCATCTTGAATCTTAATAAATAATTATCTCAGTTTGTAATTATTCTATAATCTTAATTATGCTTCTGTATAAATATGCCTGTTAATTTCTCCAAACTCTCCATTCTTAATAAGAAAAATCTTACCGTTTATATTATTTAATGTATTTAAAAATATACATCTATTTTGTAAGGCTACCTCTAACACATTGATTTATGTCTTTATTTTTACTTCTCTCTAATATCAAATTATATTGTTTTTGTAACCTATTTAACCCTCAAAATTCATATTTGTAAATTTTAGAAGTCCTTCTGTTTATCATTTTTTATGACTCTCTCTAAAGTATTTTTTACATAATGGCCCTACTTGTAATGTTTCAACTAAAATGGAGTAGAATATTCTATTTTTAATTTACATAGGAATATATTGTCTCTGTCTAATTGTATACTAATTTGGAATAGTAATTAGATTTTTAAAAATTTAATTTTCATCTGTGGTTTTAATCTTTTCCCATTTCAGGTTTTAGAGATGTTAATAAAAGAAAATCTTACTAATTTGAATTACATTGATATTCTATTGTTTTCTTTTTGAAAATCATAAGATGACAATAAAGATAAGAATGAAAGTGAATGAATTCATGTAATCGACAAATAGATTTTTTTATAATATACTATATATCTTATTATTTCATTTGTATGTATCCCTTATATAAATAGCTGATATTTTTGGCAGTTTAATGCCATTAGTGACATGGGAGTTTTAACTTTTTTCCCTTATGTTCTACTTGAACTTGTTCCAGCATGTAAATCATCCATGTAGAATATATTGCTAACTATGCTACTTATTTATCATTTGTTAAATGTTCTCTAGATAATATTAAGTATAGCATTTTTCCATTAATGTTCC